TCAGAAGAAAGGTAATATAGGAGCAATCACAAAACCAGAATAGGGGAACATCTGGTTTAGTAGTGATTCATAGGAGACCAAAAGCAAAACTGAAGGTTTCTTTTGACTACAAGATATTAAAAGGGCCCACAACAACAAAAACCCTTTTAGTCTCATATGCTTTAAGTGAAGTATAAATCACAAGTAATTAGACAGTGATATTCCAACTGAACTGAATTCCAACTGAACTGACTGCATTCAGCCTGATGTAAAATATTGGCAGTATATATGCTTTTGGGTCTATCAGCAAGATAGAAGTTATTCAGTTGCTGTGAAAGGGACATCCTAATAAAAATTAAGCAGGTTAAATCTGGAAATGAAAGACTATGGGCCAAAAGTGTCTTTTAAAAGTCTGAAAATATGTCAAAGGATAAAATAGAAGTATTTCAGTGTAGCTTCAAAAACAGAATATTGAGTAGAAGCTCTGGCAATGAGATAGGTAGAAGTTACAGAGAAGCAAATTTTAGCTTAATAGCAAGGAAAAAAAACTTCTAACAAGGAGTCTTGTCCAAAATAACTTTGTGATTGTCCCAAGAGCATTCCACAAGTGAAGAGATCACAGTGTTTGCTCCGTGTGGTCCTCATGGGAGGGCCCTGAAGTTTGGTCTTGTTATGAAATTATAATTGATTTACTTTTTAACCTTCTCTCAGAGGAACTTTTTCTTCTAAAGTTCTGAAAACCTTTATGCTGCAATTCTCTGCAACTGTTTCATGGAGTCAGAAAAAACTAAGACTGCCACGGATTTGGGCTGCTATTTTTGAGATCATCTGGGCTCAGGCAATCTTGTTGCCCATCTTAAATTTCCATTTCCCCCCATCTTTATTCTAAGGCCTGTGAAGTGGCAGCATGGAGGGGAGAGATTTTCAGTTTGACTTCATAGATTCATTGGCACTTGTTAAATTTTGGTAGAGAAAAAATTATAATCTTCTAAGAAAACAAAAGAGATTCCTAGTTCATCATCTTCACTCTGTTCAGGAAGTCAATGCAACAGGTTTATATTATACGGAATCATATTGAAGAAAGAGCTCACTTTAATAACAGGTAATGGGAAATGATGGACTTAGGCAAAACCACTAAAAACATGCTCAAGTCATGACAATGGAGGTTATTATTTATTGGAAATTAAAAATCATGAGATGTTTAATTTGGGCATTGCCATTGATGGTTTTAATTTTTCAAATATATCATACTTTTTAGAATGAAATAAAAAGGATCTAGAACTCTAAGTTTTCGTGTGAAGAAGTTCACAGGACAGAAAAGAAACATTAATCCAGGTAAGAATAATTATAAAACATTTATCTACTTTAATCACATTTGAAGATAGCAAAAAACATTGTCTAGATGATTTTAATATAATTTTTCTCCAGTTTCAAAATGTGTGATGTCATAAGTTAAAAATTATCAAGGTGAAAAGAAACCTTGATAATTCAAATTTCATTGCTTGAAGGAAGTCTATGGCTAAATTAGAGTGGGAATGCAGCAACTGATATTTAAATCATACTCACAGAGATATTATCTCATTCTTTCTCATTTCACTGCTCAGAAAACCTCACAACCACAGACATTTTCCATTTTCTTCATTTCAATTATTTCATATTCAACAGTATAATTCTTTCTTCATTGCAATAAATCTCTTTATAATCTATGTTCTATAATTTTGCATGAAAGAAATAAACAATATTACTTTGCTGGATTCTATTACTGTAGCTTAGAATCAATAGTGTTTCTTTAAATATATTTTGATTACATTTTCTGAATCAAAAGTCATGACACAGAGTATATATTTCAGACCATTTAAACTTAAGTTTGGCCTTATAGCCTACCTATACAAAGGGAATCTCTTATTCAAAAATTTTGCCATTTTCAGTTAATATTTTTTAAAAAATTTATTATTTAAAAACCTAGCAGTAAGGTATCTATTTATTATTGATCATTCAGTAGTGAACTAAAATCAGTTATAATAAACATTACACATCATGTATCATATCATGCCATAAGTTAGTACTACAGTCAAACATTTTGTGTCATCATCTCCAGTACCAAACATAATTTTTGGAACAGAACACATGCTTTATAATATTAGCAAAATACATGATTGAATGGTCAGACAGATAAAAATGGACTATCCTTGAAAATTATGCTTCTTTCATTGACATAGGGTCAATAAAGTGGCATTTAATTGGGAATAAGAATTTAAGTTTTGTCTTCTCCTCCTCTACCTTCTCTTCCTCCTTTGCTTTTTAAAATAAGATCAATCAATAACTATTAAACTTGTAACTCTTTCAAAGCTTTATTGAGATATCATTGACAAAACGTAGCATATTTTCAAGATATAAAATTTTATGTTTTAGTATATGTATATATTGTGAAATGATAATTACAATCAAGTTAATCATAATTTTGTGACACTGTAAAACAAAGATATATTTGTGACATAATCTTGTGACACTGTAAAACAAAGAGAAGTGATTTTAACATATCTTAAAATCTTTTCTATTTTCTAAAAGAAATTTTCTTTCCCATTCCAAGCCAACATATGATGGCTGAGGCTTGAAATTATTTCTTCAGCTTTATGTCTAAAAAGTTTAAAACTTCCAGAATAAAATGTAACCATTCTTATGTATCTTAACCTGTAAAGCTAGTTTATCTCCTTCATTACAACCAGATTATTGGAGCTGCAGTTATAGCTCAGTGGTAGAACACTTGCCTCGTGCTTGTGAGGTACAGGGTTCGATCCTCAGCACCACATAAAAAATAAATAAAACAAATAAAGACATTGTGTACATCTTTTAAAAATATGTCTTTTTTTTAAAAAAACAAATTATTATAAACTCACTTGAATGGATTTCAAATATGTGGTAGAACAGAGGGTTGAAGATGGAGACAGAGAATAGTGATATCATTTCAGTCATTTTTATGTTGATTTAAATTTATAGGAATTAATGTTCTGTCCTTTATTGAGAAAGTTGTTAGTAATAGTAACAAATAAAAATGATAAAAAACAGTTCATGAAGGCTTTGGGTCTTGAGGGATTTTGGTAGCCAATAGAAAAGAAAAACAAGAATACAATTAAATCTTTTACAATTGAAGGAGGAAAAGTAGAAGAGAAACTGCATACCTTCTAATTTTCATTACTCCCCTACCACAATTTTCAATTTTGGCCAGGAAGTTTTGGGGCTCTTCCTGGCATTGTTATCTATACCAGTCCTTGGAAGAATCAATGACATGTGGTTTACATATTACAAAAAAAAGAAAATGATAGCACTATCCTTAGTGCCAGGTAATTTACAATAAGTGTGAAGCTTCATTTTCAATAAAAAAGTAGAAATATTCAAAATAACCAGCATTGTTTTGGTTGCTCAAATTGTTGCCCAAATCCAAATTGGTGAATTTGGACACCTCTAGGAAATTAATACATATTTATTTTTAAAACTACTGAGCTCTTACTGTGAAGTTAAGAGTTCAATAAAATTTGCTCTCTAATATAATCTTTTGTGCAGTCAATGGTCTTGATTGGTTCCTTACTTTGAAGCTTCTATTTTTTCCCTCAAATTCAGAAGTTTCTGATGAATTTCTTGACATATTTATGTAGAGAGACTAAATCAATAAACTTCACTGGATTAAAAAATATAAATGACTCATTCACATTTTGCTTTTGCATTTAAATAAATTTATACTAGTTTTAGGAGCTGAAGATTGGTTGCATTTTAAAAGACCCTTAAGTAAAATAATTAACTTCCTGCTAATTTATTCAAAGTTGCCAAGACCTCTTTTTACTTATTTATTTATTTTACAATATAATTCTTAATATAATTCTTAATATGCCATTATACAATAATGTATCATATCTCTGATTATATATAAGGTATGTTGACACCAAATTCACATCTTCATACATGCATTTTGCATAATGATGAGGGTCTCCTTCCACCATCCATGCTATTCCCCTTCTCCCTCCCTTTCCCTCCCACCCCTATTCCCTATCTAGAGGTAATCTTCCTCCCTTGCTCTCCCAATCCCATTTTGAGTCACCCCCCTTATATCAGAGAAAACATTTGGCATTTATTTTGGGGGGATTGGCTAACTTCACTTAGCATAAGCTGCTCTAATGCCATCCATTTCCCTGCAAATGCCAAGATCTTATTATTTTTTATTGCTGAGTAATATTCCATTGTGTATAAATGCCACATTTTTTATCCACTCATCTATGGAAGGGCTTCTAGGTTGGCTCCACGGTTTAGCTATTGTGAATTGTGCTGCTATAAACATTGATGTAGCTGTTTCCCTATAATATGCTGTTTCTAAGTCCTTTGGGTAGAGTCCGAGAAGAGGAATAGCTGTGTCAAATGGTGGTTCCATTCCCAGTTTTCCAAGGAATCTCCATACTGCTTTCCAAAATGGCAGCACCAATTTGCATTCCCACCAGCAGTGCCAAGACCTCTTTTTGATAGAAATTTCATGTTCCTTTGGAAGGTACTTTAAGTTACTTTTTTTTCTTTATTTATTTTTCACTACTATGGTGAAGAAAAGTGTTATTTAAAAAATCATAAATATTAAGTGGTAAATTAAAATTTAAGTAAGTATCTTTCTTAGGAATTAAGAAAGTGCCTTTTTTTAGGAATGTTCAGACTTCAATAGTTGGAAATTATTATTTACAAATTACATGTCATAAGCCATGTCATATAAAAAGGGAGAAAGACGTAATGAAGCATCCAACCATTTTATTCTAGTCTTGGACATAGAATACTTGACCTTGACTTTGAATTCCATTGGTAGCTAGGTGTGTTACCTTAGGCAACAAAATAGCTCTCATCCTTAGTTCGATGGTGTGCATAAACAATGGATATGAAAGCATATGTCAACTGTAAAGTGTTCTTTAGTGTGAAGTTCTGTTATAGTAGAGTTAAGAGTGGAAGGTTGATGTGTGACTTTCTCTTATACCTTGAAGCAGAAGTTTGCCATGGGTGACAAGGGAGGAGGAGACAACCATTCAGAAGTGACTGACTTCATTCTTGTAGGCATCAGGGTCCGTCCAGAGCTCCACAATCTCCTCTTTCTACTATTCCTGATTATTTATGGGATGGTTCTCCTGGGGAACCTTAGCATGATTGGCATCATTGTGACCGATCCCCGGCTGAACACACCAATGTATTTCTTCCTAGGCAACCTCTCCGTCATTGACCTCTCCTACTCCACTGTTATTGTACCCAAAGCCATGGCCAACATCCTGTCTCAGAAAAAGACCATATCCTTTGCAGGTTGTGTGGCTCAGCTGTTCCTTTATGCACTCTTCATGGTCACAGAGGCCTTTGTCCTGGCAGCCATGGCCTATGACCGCTTCATTGCCATCTGCAACCCTCTTCTTTACAGTGTCCGCATGTCAAGAAGTGTCTGCATCCAGTTGGTGGCTGGTTCCTATCTCTGTGGCTGGGTCAGTTCCATCCTTCAAATCAGCGTAACCTTCTCCATGTCTTTCTGTGCCTCGCGAGTGATTGATCATTTCTACTGTGATTCAAACCCGATTGAAAAGATCTCCTGCTCTAATACATTTACCAACAAGATGGTGTCATTTAGTCTGGCTGTCCTCATTATCTTACCCACCATAGTTGTCATTGTAGTCTCTTACATGTACATCGTGTCCACTGTCTTGAAGATCCCCTCAAGTGAAGGGAGAAAGAAAGCCTTCTCCACCTGCACCTCCCATCTGGGGGTAGTCAGTTTGCTCTATGGGACGGTCTCCTTTGTGTATCTCACACCTCCAAATAACCCTGAGCTTCGTAAAGTGGCTTCAGTCTGTTACATTTTGTTCACACCTATGCTGAATCCCTTAATCTACTCTCTGAGAAATAAGGATGTCAAAGATGCCATGAAAAGAGTCCTATGGAAGAAAAAACTTTCATTCTAAATCTGCTTCCGCTTGCTTTATGATTTCTTGCATGAACTGAATTTTGTCTGCCTGATCTCGATAGGCATTTGAAATTCAAGTGTATTTAAAAAAAGAAACGAGACATCCTCAACTGTTCTATCCCACGGCATTAAACATTTCCTGAAAAGAATGCTTCACATAAATTACTGACTCTTCCTCAAGGCAATATTTACATCTGAATACTCAGGACATTTATGAAAATCTGCTGCATTTTTAATAACAGTTACATATCTCTTAACCACCAGGTAATAATATGTTATGTGACTGAGGACAAATAGTATTTTATTGTTTTTCTTTCCTGTATACTGAAGTAAAATTTAGACAGAAAATATTCTATGAAGTGATTAGTTTGAAAACTGCGTGTCCCATCTGGTTTATATGAAAATGATTCTGGATATAATAATAGTGCTGTGTTTTGGTTTTGATGGCATGCCGAAGATGTTAGAGCATGTGTGCATGAGGAAGAGGAAGTGGAAAGAAAAATTAATGAGAATACGCTGTTTAATTAAAGAAGAAACATGGAAATTGACTTTGGTTTGGTTTAAATCAAGACATTTTCTATAGTGTTCTCTGAATGGAATAGTCACCTCTGCTTTACTCTAGTATAATGAAAACGTCTAATGGTGTTTATAGTGTTTTTCAGTTCAGGCCTTCTATCTTTAGGATAATATAAATTATTGGTTGTCAATATGCAATAAGTAAAAGTACTATATTGACATGAACGTTTGAAAATCTCAATTAAAAGTAACGTAAGACTTTACAATAACCTATATAAATAGTTATATTGTATGTATGTGTGTTTGCATCTGTACATATGTGTACATGTGTCTATATGTGTATAGTTTGGTGGTTACAGAGTAATTTAACAACATGATTAATTCTAAACGTCAAAAATCAATGAGAAAAGGGTCATTTAGATTCTCACAGATTTGACAGGTATCAATAGCAGCCAGGTTTGAGAGAAGATCATGCCAGAGTTATCATGCCAGCGTGTAAGTAATTTAAGTAATGCTTCAGGTAAATAATTCCAATACTTAAATCTAGGCAATATTATCATAGACAAAAATTCAACCTAAGAAATAAAGAATAATTTCCAATTTAGTCCATATACCCAGCAATATGTAAACCTGAAATATGGATTGTCATTTGGGTCTCTTTTTCTATTTTGGTTAGGTAGCAAAACATCCTTTTATGGAGGCACAATGTCATGTATATTTGTGGGTTAATGTTTATTGGGATAGGAGATTTGAAGAATAATTCCTATCTAATAAATAAAGAGGGAAGCTAAGTGACCTAATAAGATGAAGTTATATTTATCCCTTTATTTCTAAATGTATCTATCTACTATTTCTCTTGATGCTTAGTTTCACAAAAATACCACCTGAGAACAAATTTGGGATCCCAGAACATGGGAAACTGATTTTTGGCATGGACTAGTGCTGGTCTGGAAGTCTCCTTTTCTAAATTTAGGTTTTACTCATTTCCATGATACCCTCATTAGCCTCAGGATGTTGAGTCTCTGCTGTATCTCCCAAGCAAGGGTTATTATGAACTATTGGGAAAATAAAATCAGATAGTGGATAAGAATACAGTCTAGATTCATTTGCTTTTCTTTTAAATACAGTGCTTTCCATTTCCTGTTTGTAGTTATAACAGATTTCAGTATTCCATTGTATAACCTCACATATGTCATTGTTTGTTATTCTCAATGTTCAAGAGAATCCGGAAATGTTGAAAATCTAAGGCAGAATGCTTCCAAAAATGTTGAATTCAGATTTATCTCTCTTTTTAAAATTTCCATAAGCAATTTCCTTGGTAAATTGTTTTTCTGTATACACAAGCCTTGTATAAAAAAATAATGCCTAACTTATCACTTGTCACTTGTGCCATCGAGATCCATCCAACCCACCCATTGTACTACCAACATGCTGTATTTTGTTTTTTGGTGGTGCATGAACTTCTTTTAAAATTTTGCCACATCTTAGAGAGTTTGAAGATTCTCTTTTGTGTTCTGAACATTATAAGTCATTGTTTAGAGGTAATTTTAAAATTACCCAAAGGTATACCTAGAGAAAACTTTGAACATGGTGCTATGACCTTAAGAGGCTGGAGATTGCATTGGCTTTCTCAAATGCTCCTACTTGTACTGCATTGATCATCTTCCCTGATTACAACTGTTTGGACATGCTTATTTATTTATTGTACTACAACATCAAGTGATGCATTTTAAATGTTATGACGGGGTGCAGTGGTGCACATCTGAAATCCCAGTGACTCAGGAGGCTGAAGCAGGAAGATTGCAAGTTAGAAGCCAGCCATAGATATTTAGAGAGACTCCGTCTCAAAATAAAAAAATAAAAAGAGTCGTGGATGTAGCTGGGTATTAGAGTTCTCCTGGCTTCAATTCCCAGTACCAGAAAAAAAAATTATGTATAGTAGGTATTTACTAAATATTTATTGTATTGATGCAGTGTTTAGTGTATTTTGTATCACCAGGATTTTAAGCTTTTCTGTTAATTAAGTACTGAGTCAAACTTCACAAATATAAGTCAAATTTATTAAATAAAACATTGCAGACTGGCACCTACAGCTTGTTCCATTTGCATTCTATTAGGCTAGGTTCAACTCATTATGGGATTTGAATTGTTATGCTGATTGAAGTAGCTAAAGTGATAAGGTATCCTAAAAACATCTTAGTGTTGAAACAACATTGGCTATGTTATTCTCATTCTCATGGGTGTAGTATTGTCTGTCCTCAGTTTGTCCAATTCCATCAGCATAGGTCATTAAGTCAATAGAAATTTTTTTAAGATGTGATTTTAGTGAGGACAAAGCTATGTTGAGGGTAAAAAAGGGAGAAGAAGTGGGAAAACATGAAAAAAGAAAAACACATGGTATCCAGGAACTGAAAACAACCTGAGGACAGGAATTCATTTTGAGGTCATTTCTTAATTATTCCAGTTAAAAAATAATAATAATAAGACAAGCAACAACAGCAAATCAAAAACTTTAACCAGACTGATTTCCATGTTTATTATTTTTATAGAATAAGGCTTCTAGATTTTGAACTAGTTTCTTCTTTCCTTTCATCAACATTTTAAAAACACCCATTCATACACACCCTTTGGCAATCAAATAATTGGCATCTGTTTCCTCCATTCAATGTTTAGAGTTAGGTTTCTTTTGTAACAACCTACATAAATTACCTATAGGTGGCTTAAACAAGATATAAATATTTACATATGTGTATTTTCTTTGCTTTGTGTGCACATATGCAATGGTAAGTTTGGAGAAGATGAGCTCCTACTTAACATTCCAGGAGGTTGGAAAATAGAAAACAGAGAAGCAACTTCCAAGCAGCCTCCCAACTTGTCAAATGCCACAGTGCGGAGATATTTGTTCCAAGAAATTTGAGGCTTTTGGTCCTTCTGTTGTAAACTCAAATTTTGGTGAAGGAGGCACTTATGTCCTTGCTTTACGGTGGGTTGCATTCATTTTCTCTGGGAAGGCAAGGTTCCTAACTGAAACTCTGTTAGCCTGTTCAATGTTCCCCCCTATCTTCAAGGGATACATTTCAAGTTCCCAGTGGATGCCTAAAACAGTGGATGATGCCAAACCTTCTCTCCACTATGGTTTTTCTAACTCTATAAACCCCAGGAAAGTTTAACTTATAAGTTAGGCACAGTAAGAGTTTAACAATAATAACTAATAATAAAAATGGAACAATTATAACAATACACTTAATAAAAATTATATGAATGTGGCCTTTCTCAAAATATCTTATTTTGCTGTCCTATATTTTTGAACTGCAGTTGAAATTGAAAGTGTATAAAGTGAAACTGTGGATACAATCCTGAAGTGCTAATTCTTCTTAAAATAAGAAAAACAGAGAACTCTTTATAAGGGGAAATTTATGGTAAACAGATCAAAATAATATTCTCCCAATAACCCATGTATTTTACTGTTCAAATTCTATATGTTCTTCTTCCACATATACAATGCCAAATTTTACATGCTTTTCTTTCCATTTATACAATACTCAGATTTCCAATATCTAATATAATGCCAAAATTTTGTGTTCTTAAAAAACTATAGTCTGTCACCTAAGAGACAAGGCCCCAACTATTACTCATTGTTATTCAACATCTCGTGTAAGATCTCTAGTTGATTTCTATTCCTCTATTGTTTATTTTAGTATCCTATTTTAAAATTTTATGATGATTAGAATAACTATTATCACTACTATGATCAATAATAAATTAAATGATATATATATATATATATATATCATTTAATAATGCTAAAACATAAGACATTGAAACTCTATTAAAATATTTCCCAAAGCAGTAGATATGACCCATTCAATAGTCCTCATCTATGAATCTGGCCATGGCTTATAGTGCATATTACAACATTTCACACTTCTTTTCTGTACTTGGTATTCTTCTGGCTTTGATTTCTCCTGTTCATATTCCCATGTCTGGTGAGTTCTCTGTAATTCTATTCTTTAAGGGATCTATGCCTTGGATGGTCTTAGCTTTGTGTAGTACTCATTGGCTGACTCTATGGTAGGCACTTTCTTCTTTTCTATCTGATTTATCTTGAGTCAGAAAAGTTCTTATCCTCAGGGGTTGTTTTTCAGTCTACTCTGGTTATGATGTTTTTATTCTTCTTTAGTGGTCATTAATTTAGGAATGGGAACATGTTCTACTAAAATATGTTTAAATAAAATATGAGAGACAGCCTAAATATCCCTAAAGATCTGTAAAATTTTTGAGTTTATACTTTTATTCTGATTTTGATCACTCATAAATCAGCTACCAAAATAGTTGGGAAGATTTTGGTTGACACCTGTGTAGTGTTAGGGTGGGGTTCTTACTGGAGGGTAGCCGAGCTTCTCTTCATCTTATGGCTCTATGTGAAGCAACTTGGTTCTAAGAATGTGGAGATGAACATAATCTGAATCAGTAGCTCATAAGGAATCTGTGTTGATCAAATTCATTCTCATATTCTCTCATTCTCATTCATTCTCTCTCTCTCTTTCTCTCTCTCTCCTTACTTCTTTCCTAGATATCCTGGTATAAGAGGACAGATAGATGAGGATGATGGAAACATGGTTAAGAGAATAATTCTATAAAAAGAGCCCACTGTATTGACTTTCCACATGCTTACTTTTCCAAAAATTAATCTGCCTGCTGCCCTGTTTGATCTTATGGGACAGGACATATCACATTCCTTGATAAACTGACAAACTGAGGCAGGGGGCGAAGGTCTAACAGGTGGTGTAGGTAATGAATGATGGGGGTGCAGAAGATGAGGGCTGGTTATCAAAGAAGAAACTATGGGTTGCTAACAGCTACCCTCCAGGGATCACACTGCCTAATTCAACGGATTGCTAACTCTTATCCCTTGTGCTCCTGCTCCATCCTGTCTTTAGGCCTAAAGAAGAAAGAGACAGTGGGGAGTCTTGGGGTCTACAAGAGAGCAAGACACACAACCCCCTTGTAACCCAGCTCTGGGCTCCTGCCTACTCAGAAAAACCTGTTGCTATTTCTTTTCTTAAATAAAACTTGCTTTCTACACTTGCCTCCACATTTCTTGTGTTTAGTCTTCAATAAGAACAAGAACCCATTCCTGATCTC